TAACCATTTTTGTACTAATAATCTTTTATCTTAATGAGTCTGTTTTCCGTTACCGAACTGGCTGCACTAGTTCAGAGCTTATCTTTTTTACTCCACACATTGGAAGGAAAAAAGATAAACTATGAACTAGTGCAGCCAGTTCAGCAATAGAAAACAGGCCCATTGATATGTTTACGGGACGCTCCATTTTCTTTTACGCTCCTTTTACACAGTTGAACAAAAGTCTTGTAAAATTCAACAATTGTAACGCATAATATACAATTGTAATTTGGTATAAGTTTGATAAAAAATTTTTATAATACATTTTTTATGCTGTTATAACTGAATAAATAATTGATTTGTCAATTACAAAAGGATTATTGTTAGAAATTATTATAATTTTTTTAGAAAGGTATAAAATTAATCTTGACTAAGGTATGCACATCCTTTGCAGAATAATCAACAACATAGTGACGTTACTGAAATGTGTCGCACGGACGGCATTTGTGATATTAAACAATGTCTATTGCATACCTACGTATGTAGTATGGATGATGTTACTGTTTCCTGTAAAAATATATCAACCACAAGTGTACTGGCGAATCGAAGGCCTATTTTTCCACTGGTTGCTGGCAATGGTGTCGATGTGGACTTGGTCCGCAGGCTACGACAGTAAGTACAAATTGGCAAAGAGTAAGCTTTGTTTTGAATTTAAGAAAAATAAATTCTTAATTTTTTGTTCGACAGTAATAGAGCAAGGTGATGACATACAGAAGATTATAAGCGAGAAAACATTAGTTATAGCGAATCATCAGAGCACTGGTGATGTTCCTATATTAATGACAACATTTAACGCCAAACCAAATGTTCTACCTAATTTAATGTGGATAATGGATAGAGTGTTCAAATTTACTAATTTCGGAATAGTTTCTGTATTACATCAAGATTTCTTCATTTCATCGGTAAGTGCAAATAAAGTTTCTCTTTGAGAATGCATATATATATACGGAAACTATTGAATATAGGTTCACTA